GCCCCTTACAGCACTGCACTCCTGTCCCCCCTGGGTAACTCAGATCACGGTGTTGTGGAGGTTAGGTTTCGGTCAGAAGCCGCTGTGGCCGCAGAAACTCGCACAGGCCGCAAAACTTGGCATTACGGAAATGCCGACTGGGAGGGGCTCAGAGACTTCTTCTCTAGCTTTCCTTGGAGAGATGTCTGTTTCACTGACGCGGATGCGTCGACTGTCTGTTCTTCAATAACCGAAATTATCCACGTCGGATTGGACGAATACATCCCTCACACAGTGAAAGTTCCTAAACCAGGGTCCAACGGCTGGTTCAACAAATCGTGTGACACTGCTCGCCAGCAGAAGATCAACGCCCACAGAACCTACTTACAAAACCCCACTGTAGAGAACAGACAAGCCGACGTCGAGTCCAGAAACAAATATAACGAAGCGGTTCGCAATGCCAAAACCCAGCATGATATAAAAGTTAGGCACAGGGTAATGTCGCAGCGCAATGGCAGTCGGTATTTCTGGACGCTGGCCAAGCAGATTGAAAAGAACTTCTCACACAGTAGCCTTCCACCACTTACGTGTCAGGATGGAACTATTGTATTCGACTCAAAGGCCAAGGCGGAAGTGCTAGCCAAGATCTTTGCTGCCAACTCCACCATGGACGTCCCCACCAACGCCCAAGTGCCGTCAATTCAAAGGGTTCCCCACAGTATGCGGGAGGTAACATTCAGGCATAAGACCGTAAGACGAGTGCTCTTGTCGCTCGACATCAACAAAGCTTCTGGTCCGGACTTGATTCCTGCCATTGTACTGAAGAGATGTGCAGCTGAGCTTGCTCCAGTTCTTTCGCGTCTCTTCCAGATATCTTATGAATCCGGCACCTTCCCAGAAAACTGGAAATTTGCTCATGTACAGCCCATCCCAAAAAAAGGATCTAAAACCGACCCTTACAACTACAGGCCTATAGCTCTGCTTTCTGTTATAAGTAAAGTGATGGAGAGGTGCATAAATCGCGAGCTTCTGGACTACCTCGAACATCACAGCTTGATTAGCGACAGGCAGTACGGTTTCCGGCACCAACGATCCACAGGGGACCTCCTAGCTTACGTCACGCAGCTGTGGAGTAAACTCATCCAGTCTCATGGTGAGGCTCATGTCGTTGCTCTTGACATCACGAAAGCGTTCGATCAGCTGTGGCACGCTGCCCTCTTGAGCAAACTTCCATCCTACGGCCTCCCAGAAAAGCTTTGCAGATGGGTGGCTGACTTTATCTCTGGCCGCAAGATATCCGTCGTAATTGACGGATTCTCCTCTTCATCCCACAACGTCAACGCGGGTGTTCCCCAGGGATCGGTCTTGGCTCCAACACTGTTTCTCTTACATATCAACGACCTCCTTTCCTGCACGATCAACCCAATCCACAGCTTCGCTGATGACAGCACTCTACATGCAGGAATTCAGAGTGACAAGCCGATCTCTGCCGCTGAGCTGGAAAAAAAAAGACTACTTCTTCTCTGACAAGAGACCTGGAGGCTATCACTGCTTGGGGACGCAACAATCTTGTACAGTTCAATGCTTCCAAAACACAGTACTGTACTTTGACGAACAAAAAGCGTCCTAGCGCTCATACAGTTTCGATGGACGGTCGAGTTCTACCAAAGAGCCATTCATTTCGGCTGGTCGGAGTCCAGATCACCGAGGACCTGATTTGGCACGAACACATCTCTTCAATAGCTGCAGCTGCTGGGAAAAAGCTAGGCTATTTGTTTAGGGCTAAGAAGTACTTTTCTCCGCATGACCTTCTCACTCTATACAAGGCCCAGATAAGGCCTAGCCTCGAGTATTGCTCACACATTTGGGGTGCTGCCGCTCCGACTACATTGTCCATGCTCGATGCTGTCCAGAGGAGGGCGGTCCGACTGATCGATGACTCTTCTCTAACAGACAGTCTCGGGACTCTTTCGCACCGGCGGGCCGTCGGCGATCTAGCTCTTTTCTATCGCTACACCAACGGGCTTTGCTCCTCAGAGCTCTCTTCCATGATGCCGCCGCGCGATGTGCCTGCCAGACAGACCCGCCTGACTTCGGCGTCCCATCCTAACCGTGTCAAACTTCGTACATCCAGAACTGGCCGATACGACCGCTCCTTTGTCCCGAGGGTGTCTAGATTGTGGAACAAACTACAGGAGGAAGCTTTTCCCAGTTCTACTAACCTTAGGCAGTTCAAAAATCGTATTAACAAAATTTCTTTGGGATCGCGGTGTTCCGGCATTTAGGCTTCTACCTGCGCGGCTGTTTCGATATAAAAAAAAAAAAATATTTTCTATGCATTTACTTAGACGTGGAATTTACTTTTTCTCTCGCTTAGGTGCTCCTTCATTTTCCCTATTTTTGAAACAACCCTCGTAACTACAGTAGTCAACCGAATATTGGTTATGTATAAGTGCATCAACATTTGAACGACCAGGAACCCAAACTAATGCCATACGTTATGCAATGCAGATTGTTGCGTTATTTGTAAATAATATATTGACAGGCGACTTAATAATCAACTAATAATCAGACGAAAGGGAAACGTGAGAAAAAATGTACACGATGGATATTACGTAATGTTTTCAGGCACATGACGTGACTTCGTCGGCATAACGTTATACGGTGTGTAGTCGGTGCCGTTCAGGTTATGCTGAGTGGGCCGATAATTAAAAACGCTGGTTGTACCTCAGCATCCTCTCAGCACATAACTGTTGATCGAAAAATGGCATCAAGTAGGTTAACTCTACCTACGTCTTTGTTAGAGGCTCCATAACTGCCTTACGTCAACTCTCTAAGTAATCGTTCTACGTATTTACGTACTTCCAACTCTGGCGGTTCCCCGAGTATTTACTCGTAAAACTTGGAGAAGTCTAAGTCTACGGCATGTGGCTCTGATGGTCTAACTTTAAATATGGTTTGCTTATGTTTGCCTGATACCATAGACCATATAACTCACATTCTTAATGTCTGTCTCGAAACAGGTTACTTTCCTGCCAGTTGGAAAAATGGTATTATTATTCCAATAGCTAAAACTAATCATCCAGAACAATATTCTGATCTCAGGCCAATTACCTTATTATGCTTTCTATCAAAAATACTCGAAAGAGCTGTCTACTCACAACTAGTGGAGTTTTTCGAACAAAATCACTCATTTCCTCTACATCAGTTAGGTTTCAGAGCTGGTTACAGCACTACGTCGTCTTCATTACATCTTACTGATTCCATCATTCACAATTTAGATAATCACATCAGCACCGTCTTGGTACTGTTAGATTTTTCGAAAGCCTTTGACATGGTCAATCACCAGATACAACTGAGTAAGTTATCTCATTATGGAATGTCAGATATAGTTCTTGAGTCATACTTGCTAAATCGTCAACAAACAGTGAAAACTGGTCAGGGAATTTCCTCCTCTGAGCCAGTTCCTTCAGGAGTTCCTCAGGGCTCAGTATTAGGTCCCTTACTATATCTGATTTATACGATCGATCTGCAACACTGCTTAGTCGACTGTAGTATGCAAACTTATGCAGATGATACTCAGTTAGTGTTTGGTTTCGATCCATCAAAGGTTGATGAAGTTTCTTTTAAAGTTAATTTAGATTTGGCTAACATCGGTGATTACTGTAACAAACACTGCTTGAAGATCAATCCTAATAAAACTACTGCAATGTTGTACTGTTCGAAGAACTCCTACCGTGAAATGAAGCAGAGGATTTGTGTTGTTTGGATGAGACGCTCATCCCTTTTGTGGATTACGACAAGAATCTCGGTGTTACCCTTGACTTAAATATGAGATTCGATCGGCATGTCTCTTTCTTATCTATTGTAACGTATATGCGTTTGAAACTCCTCTATTCCAATCGATTCATCTTGAATTTTTAAACCCGAAAAAAGCTCGCTGAAAGTCTTGTGTTGTCTGTCATTTCTTACTCTCTTGTTCTCTATTACCCATGTTTAGACTACGTCCACAAAAGGAAACTCCAGAAAATTCAGAACAGCTGTTGTAGGTTTATTTTTTGATTGCGCAAGTTTAGTCGCGTCTCAGATAAAATCAAAGAACTCAACTGGTTGCGAATTGATAAGTTATTTTTATGTCTTTTGACCGTCTTCACGCATAAAGTTCTATGATCTAACCGACCAGCTTACCTCGCTAGCAAATTAGTTCACCGAGGTAGTTTTGTTACCAGAGCTCTTAGATTTAATGCTAATTTTAACATGCCTCTTCACAATACCTCGGTCTTTAAAAGAAGTTACTCCTATAATGCTGTCAAGCATTACAATGCAGTCAACAGTGGCTATCGATCCAAACAGGTTGCGTCTTTTAAGAAATTAATGAAAAGTCAGCTGCTGGAGTCCATTTAGTTCAGTTTTTCTTGTGTTCATGTGCTTTTTTTTGATTGACTATTTTCTACTATTTTAGTTTCAAATTTTAAAACTCTCGCAATACTATCTGCATTTGTCTCGTGCAATCAATGTTGTCATTCTTATGAATTGTATTTTTTTTTTGGTATGTTATTATTTAGTTTGTGTGTTTAAGTATTCTATTCCTGTTCTGGGGCTAAACTTCGCCTCACTGCAGCTAATAAAGGCATTATTATTATCATTATTGTTATTGTTATTATTATTATTATTATTTAAAAAACGCGTCGCGTATGGGTCGCGGTCTCACGAAACCTATATGTACAAAGTCCTGTCTGCGTTTGACCGCTCTGGTACTTATCATAGCACGGCTGACTGCTGTTGGGGTTCAGCAACGTTGCCAAATGGTCGATACTTTTGGTAGGTCAAAGAAGAAAATTCCAGCATTATCAAACGTACTAATTGTGTGGGCCTGTTTGGCTGACTTGATCCATTTAATTTTTTTTTTGTTGCAGTGCATATCATTTTCTTATTTTAATTAGTCCTTACGCAATTAACGTAACTCTTAATTAATTTTAGGTTGCTCTGAACAAAAATAATAGCTGCTTATTTTTTTGCAGTGAAAAATGGGAGAAGAAGAACATAAAGTTCCACGATAATGGAACGGTATCGTTCAACCAAGAAAAGATTTACACATTTGACGAATCGCAGTCAGCGGGCAGTGAGGACGACGTAGTTGTAGTACCAAATATTCCGATGTTGGTAAGTTTTTAAAAAATCGGTATACTTTACATTTCATACTTAATGACCGGGTATCTCAAATAACGATATAGGGTTTTTCAATAATTTAGGCTTATCACTTTATTGAAAATTTTCTTATCAAGACATCATTGCTTATCAACATTGCTAAAAGACATACTACCCTCCATATCTAGTTTTACTGCTAAAGGAAGTCACAAACGTGCTCCAGCATTTTTTTATAAATGAAACATGAGAATTGCGCTAGTGGAAAATATTCACAAAGTCGCCCGCAATAGCTGAATGTGTACAAAGTGTTAGGGAAATAATATTCGTAACTTTAAGAGTAGATTGCTTGCATTTTATTCTAAGCAAAAAAGTTATGTGCGAAATTCGAGGAAAGTGAGTCGTAAATAATTAAATTTTCTCAAACATTTGGCAACACTGCAACGCAACCGCGATACGAGCGCACGACGACCGCAACTGATTCATCGAATTGTTTACGTTTGTATGATATTTTTGTTGAGAATATGCCTTGAATGATTTAATAATTTTACACAATTTTTTGTGGCTAATATTTTTTATTTATTAATGCTGTACGTGGCGATACACACCACCAATTCCCAAAATTATCAATCACTTATTTGAAACGATGCACGAAAAAGAAAAAAAAACAACATCCGTAAATCACATAAAGTTACAGTAAAATGTATTAGTAATCACAACAACACGCGATGATACATGCAGTGCAGGCGCAGTACAACGTTGCCAGATGTGTGAGGGATTTTGTTTGTCTGTTTTTCTACGGAAAATTGTATTTAATAAGCAAGAAAATTATTTTGTTAGAGGCAGTTAATTAATAAATAGATGTATTGATACATTTTACGCTATTAGGCATATGAATTTGGTGCAAAATTAATTTATTTCATGACTAAAAAGAAATAAGTTCAGCATTTTTTTGCTCCGAAATGGTTATAATGAACTTTTTTGCTTAGAATAATGCAAGGAGTCACCTCTTAAAGTTACGAATATTATTTCCCTAACACCCTGAAAAAGTGACAATTTCTTTTGTAGTTGAAAAGATCCTGCGAGAAAAATGAAACCCAAAATGACTAGACTTTATTAGGCAGATGGACAAAGCCACACTCTCATTATTATTCTATGACTTTACAAAATCTAAAAAATGTAAAAATCCATGGTAGTAAACCTTTGATTTATATCGACTTTTGATGAGAGTTATCGGTCTAGAGTTTTATGGTTTTCGATAACAAATTCACATTGACGGATTTTTCGAAGGACGTCTGGTTATTCATCCTTTTTCAATTCAAAAAGAATATTTCCATTTTCTATTCATTTATAAAATTCTCGCTTTATCTGAGAAACTGATTGTAAAATGGGAAAAACAAATAAATCACTGGCTTGTTTGTATCATACGGTCGAGTAACTGTGTCGCCTTTCACGCAGCATGAAATAGTTTTACGGATAAAACGGTTGCAATTTGCAATATCTGCCGGTATTGTTAGAAATATGTTATCTTTTTATTTTTTCTATACCTGGTTAGTCCTTTGGATTCTATTAAGAGACGACGTTACGGTTTTTTTTTCCTTGGCGTTTGAACGATAACTGAATTTATTTACGTTGTGACGTACGACGTGACAATGCCAGAGTTTTGAAAAATTATTTCTGCATTGAAATATCATCAACATTACTTAAAAGTCATTACTGTTCTATCCTCAATCAATGTCGTTTTTTTACTATTTTAATCACTTACCAGTAACTTGAATCTCTCTTTAAAAATGATAGAGTACCGATTCCTAGACCAAGCCCTTTTCAATGATTTTATTTTGAAAAAATTCCATAATTTATTGGGCTCCAAACTACCTAATCCTGAAAGTATGATTTCACACATATTAAGCCCTTTACCCGCATCATTATTTTGGGAAATAATACGGTTCTGAGGTCTACCCATAGGCAACCAGTGATGTCCTTTGTGTGGGTGATTTCGCGTCGGGTAGGTAGGTGTATTATCGGCCATTCAATTGATGATCAGATTTTGGGATATTTGGCCGCAATCACCAGTTTACCGAGTAGCACCCTTTCTTGTACCTACCTCAAGTTTAGTTGTTTCAGTTTGGGTGCTACACCGTCCATTTTTTATGGAATTCTCACCGCCATTTGCATTGCTCCTATTTCGTAGCTCTTTTGTATCCGATTTGACTGGAAGCCACCCTTTTCAATTAAGAAATTTATTTTGCAACCCCACTACAATACAAATAAACTCTCTCTTTCTGAACGGTATTTTGTGAGGGTCGAATTTGAAACACGAACTACAAAACTGTTATACAGCTTACGTTTTTTCGATTTCTTCAGAAATGAATTACAACTCTCCCTATAATGTAGGTATGTCAATAGTTAGTAACATACATTAAGGCTATCCTCCACAGCACCCACTTTCTCAAGTTTCAAAGAACGCGCAGCAGCGTGTACTAAATTTTCAACATATACTAAGTGACATATAAATCCGAACACCCAGTTTAAATGGTTTTATTTTAATAAAATTTTGTATAAGTACTTAATGAAGCATCAAAATGATTGCACTGCTTTAAAGCCCTTTGACCTTTAATAATGGGTGGATGCACCCTGATGTGCTACGCATTCTCCAACGCGCCTAGCATGCTTCTGATCAGGTGGTCAATGTCCTCCTGTGGTATCTCATTCCAGGCAACCACCAACTCCTCTCGAAGTGCTTCTAGAGTCTGAGGAGGATGTTGCAAATTGAGCAATCTCCTACCCATCATATCCCACACGTGCTCAATTGGGGATAAGTCGGGAGATCTTGGTGGCCATGGTAACAATGTGAAAGGGTAAAAGATGGGGTTCTAGAACTTCGTGGATATAACGCTGCGCGTTCATGTTACCTCTGATGAAGATTAAAGGTGACCTGGAACCATAAGCTATAGCACCCCAAACCATAACTCCAACAGTGTGATGAACATGTCTTTCAACAAAAAACTGTGGATTCCTCCTTTCACCACGTCGCCTTCTAACCCTGGCACGACCATCGTGCATGCCTAAACAAAATCGAGACTCGTCACTAAAGACAATACTGTTCCATTCCTGATCCCAGAGTGACCGTTGTCTGCACCACTCAAGGCGATTACGTCGGTGTTTTCGAGTTAAAGGGAGGACCCAGTGTGGCCGGTATGAAAACAAGCCAAAACTTCTCATTCGTCGATAAACACTTCGCATGCCAATAGGTCTTCCGTGTTCTGCAAACCATTCATTTGCAATGGACCTGGTAGTGGAGAAACGGTCCCTTAAGGCCAATAATCTTAGGCGGCGATCTTCACGGTCTGTTGTTCTACGGCGGCGTCCAGTGCCCCTTGCTTTTTGCGTACGGCCTTCTCGAAGCCATGCCTGACAACGCCTAACCACAGTGTCTACACTTCTTTGCACTCTAACTGCAATTGCCCGAAAAGAACGTCCAGCTTCCCGAAGTCCCACTATACGGCCCCTATCAAACTCACTAAGTTGACGAAATCGTACAGGTCTCCGTACTCTAGGCATCGTAACCGATCGTAAAGGATGTCAAGAACCAAAATCCGCCAACGTTGATTCTTTACTGCGGCTGAAATATTCATTTTTAGAGCGTTAGTGAATTAAAAAAGAGCAGTATAAAAACCGGAATGTCCAACTGATAAGGCTGAAAATTTTTTCACTTGTTATTTACAGTAAGATAAATACATTCACCAACTTTTATTAAAGTAAAACCATTTAAACTGGGTGTTCGGATTTATATGTCACTTAGAATATTAAGGCTATCCTCCACAGCACCCACCTTCTCAAGTTTCAAAGAACGCGCAGCAGGGTGTACTAAATTTTCAACATATTTAAAATAAATCAACAGTTCACATCTTCATAACTAAATTACACCTTCTTAATATTGACACGTGGCTGGCGTTCCCAATCAACATGTGGAATTGGTTACGTAAAACCGATGTCGGACAGTGGTAATCCGCCGAAGTGAAAGTAGCGATAAAAGAAGTATCATTTCGCGTCGTTCGTAACACATTTTTTTAAATGGATTCCTCACTAGTTTGTTTAGCTGTCCATCAAATTCTGCGACAAAATATATATTGTGTTCGTAATATCTGCCTGCTCCAAATTTATGACAATATTCGTCATAAGTCAATGATGCGGACGTAATGCTGCAACCGAGCTTATTGTCTAACAAAAGTATCTACTGAAAACAACTTGCAATGCAGGAATTTAATATACAGTGTGATTTAGAAAAAAGTGGCAGCATTTAGGCAGGGAGGGGTAATACGTATTTTCTAAAGTAACATTATGAGGTTTTTCTACCAGATGTCAACCTGGCACTGATCTTCTACGTCTCTGACTTTTTCAAACATTTATTGCATTTTTAAATGAAGTGTTAAATTCTTCAAGAACCGCCTATCTTGAGAAACTATTCCTGTTGGAGAAAAATTGGTTTGAGTATTTGAGTATTCGTATAAGAATCTTCAACCCGCGTGTGCGACATCGAAAATTGTGTGTAAAGTATCCTAACTCAAGAAACGTTATTGAACATATAAAGGACCCCGCACAAAACATATGGAAAATGTGTCACAGTCGATTTGACTACAAATTCAATATGATGTACTTCTCACTGAGCTGAATAAAAGTGCTAGTGGGACCAAAGTAATTTTATGATTAGTTTCTGAAAAATAGACGGATGAAGCTTGTCGATTTGCAAAAATGGTGAATGTGCACGTAAAATCGATCTTGTGAAGACCCTAAAGCTGGTGCTCTTATTAATATCTACCATCCTCCAATTATTATTATGTGGTGGTGCTGATGCTAAGGTATCCATACAAGAAATTTACTAACGGTTTAGAAAGTATCGTCTATGGATATCATATCTACAAGTTTATAAAAATAATGAGGATTTACCTGATGGGAATGCAATAATCAGTGTCCTAAACCCTAGGTACTTGTGATTTTTTACACGCGCCCATAAGATT